AAGAGAACCATGATTTTCCTTCATGGTAAGTATGATGAGAACAAGAGAGAACCATGATTTTTCTTCATGGTGAGTAAGAATAAGAGAAGAAGAAGAACAGAGAGAAAGAAAGAATAAAAAGAGAAAAACAGAGTTAAAGGAGAATAAAAGTATTAGAAAGAAAGAGAAAAACAGTGAGAATTAGAAATAGAAGAACGAGAGAGTAAAGAAGAACCAAAGAGTGAGTTGCAGGGATAGGTAGTAGAGGATTTACTAGGAAGAACCAAAGAGTGAGTTGCAGGGATAGGTAGTAGAGGATTTACTTATTGAGCATTGTTGTGCTCACCCCATTGTTCTTCTCTGTTTTGCAGGAAATAGGAGCAGCGGTCGGATGGACGTCGAGGAGTGGAGAGTATTGGCACCACTGTCCACTAGCTATGATATTTTGTATTAATTAGAAAGTTTTTAATACATATTCTTTTGCATTTGTAAAGAATTATATTTTATGAGTAACGAAAATTTTAAGCCCACTATCTTTCATACGCTATGTATATCTATAATTTACATAGTATGAACTATAAGAATAGTATTAGAGAGCAGGTGTTACAAGCCTTTAAAGACCCTACCCTTTATAGGAGCACTGTTGGTGCTTTGTAATACTTGTCGCTAACTAGAGCTGACATCAACTTTACTGTCAATAAGCTGAGTCAGTTTCTTCAAGCTCCCATAGAATTACAATGGAAAGCTTGTAAGCGAGTCTTGACATACATTAAGGGTACTCAGTTCCATGGTTTAATGTTCAAACCGCAGCTTCTCTTAGTGTAGAATGCTATGTTGATGCTAATTGGGGCAACAATCTTGATGATAGGAGATCCACAAGTGGCTATTGTGTTTACTTAGGTCCTAATCTCATACAATGGAGCTCCTGCAAGCAAAAAGTAGTGGCACTTTCTTCTACTGAGGCTAAGTACAGAGCATTAGCTCACTACCACAGAAATAGCCTGGTTATAGAGTATTTTTTTAGAATTAGGTGTTGTTTTGGCTTTTTCTCCTGTTATTTAGTGTGACAATGTGAGTACAAGAGCATTGGTTGCCAATCATGTGTTTCATGCTCACACCAAACATATTGAAATTGATGCCCATTACATTAGGGATCAAGTTCTAGCTAAGAAGTTAGTTGTTCAGTATGTTCCCTCAAAGCAAGAAATTGTTGACATTCTTACTAAGGCCCTGTCAATCTCCCAATTTAATAGTTAAAACAGAAGTTAACTATGGTTAGAGTTCATGCAGCTATCAATTAGGCTAAGGATCAGTCTTTCTCAACTGATATAGTCCAAAAGCATAATTGATTTTATGCACTGAATTGCAGGTTTGATAATGTTGTACAGGCTTGATAATGCAAAAGCAGAATTGATTTTATGCACTCGAGTTGTAGGTTGGTTTGATAATGCAGAAGCAGAAACTACAACAAATTTTTAATTTAGGGACAAAATATATAGGGACGAATTCAATTTCATCTCAGAATGGTCATTTTAGGGGACGAAATTGTAATTTCGTCACAAAATGCTTAGCACTCAATTTCCACCCCACACCAGCAATGCCATTTGGAGGGAAGGATGAAAGAATGCGGAGGGAAATCATTTTGGGATGAAATTTATTATTTTTGGATGAAAAATTTTGTAGCTAAAAACCTTCTTTTTCTGGGACGAAATTTTTTGTCTCTAATTGTACAAAATTTGGAAAACTTATTAGAGATGAAATATGATTTTTTCCTTGTTGCAAAAACAAATTTTTAGGGACAAAATTTATTATTTTTGGATGAAAAATTTTGTAGGTAAAAACCTTTTTCTTCTGGGACAAATTTTTTTTTTGTCTCTAAGGTACAAAATCTGGAAAACTTATTAGGGATAAAATATGATTTTGTCCTAGATTGTGAAAAATACATTTTTAGGGACGAAATTTGGAACTACAACAAATATTTAATTTAGGGATGAATTCAGTTTCCTCCTAGAATTGTCATTTTAGGGGACAAAATTGTAATTTCATCAAAAAATGCTTAGCACTCAATTTGCACACCTGTTAGAGTAGGTGCCCTAGAGCCAATCAATTATTATAGAATTGACCATTTATAATAATATTCAATAAAAGACATTTTATTTTATATCATGTAAATCATAATTGTATGTATTGATATATGTCTTTAGGATGGTAGAACCATGACGAGGGAATCAAGTGTTTCAAATCTTGATAATGAGAACCTTATGATCACATATGGCGACCACTCTAGAAATGTCCATAGCCCCAGTATTATTCTGACCAAGGACACAAATAATACGATAAGACTATCATAGTGTTGAACGACCCTGTCGAAAGGCAATGACTGATCTCACTTGTCAAGGTTGTTTGCCGACAACCTCTTGCAATACATGGGTGCTTGTTGTAGGCAAGTTTATTGGACAGACCCACCAAAGGATTCAATATGGATGATAACCCTAGTGTCTATATAATAAATCCTTTAACGAATGGTGGTGCATGTGATCCTTAGACTTGAGATCACTAGCCCAACATAGTTCTGTTTAGAGCTATCAATATGGTAGTGATTAACTACATCGAGGAGTGTATCAAGACTATGGTGGATTAACAAAAGATTCATCACTCCTAGGTACGAAAAAAGTTATTTCACAGCGCAATTCAGTGAATGGCAATGACACTAAAGTTATGGCCACAGTGGGATTGAGTTGTTGCTCAATCTAATTTATTATTTCGGTCATTGGTCTAGTAACTGAATACAAAGATATCGAGGATAACTGAGATTAACACTATTTATGTATCCCGGCCTTGATGAGATAACAAATGATGAAAGGATTTGATTGCACAGTAACCATATCGTTGATAGGTAGCTATTTCGCTGAATTCGAATCTATCGGGTGGCCATAATGCCTTGCTAGGGGTCAATCTTTGTGTGTGTGTGTGTGTGTAGTGAGACGATTAATTGGTGTCAATCGCAATACTACTCACTGTCGATATGATAAGGAGTCTACGGGTCACACACTTAGAAAACGTTTTAAGGATGGTAAACTTTGGAAATGGTATATTCGTCTTTTAGATGAATGGGCATATTGGTAATTTTTTTATGTAATTAAATTTACTGAGATTGTAGCCTATGTCCAATTTTATTATTAGAGTAATTTAGCAAAATTATGATCCAGTCACGGTTCACAAACTTCAAAACCATTACTCCCTAATCTCTGGTAAGTACAGATTTTCTTGTTTGTATTTCATTTAAAGTTACAAAATTTTCAAGTGCACTCTCTTCGATTTAGTATGATTATTGGTTTTCTTTATCTGAATGATTTTCATACAATTTGTGGACTACGCGTTCTCTTTAGTTTAGTTTGATTATGAGTTTTCTTTCTTGAATGATTTTCATACAATTTGTGAAGTGTGTGTTATCTTCGGTTAAGCAAAGATTTTGAGTTTGTTGTTTTAATTTTGAATGTGTGCGTCAAGATTTTAAAACCCGACCCGGGGGGGAGGGGAACCCGGCCAACCTATTGGGTCACGGGTTTTATAGGTCAAACGATCTGACCGATGGGTTAGGCCATGACATCAACAAAAAAAAAAAAAAAAAAAAAATATTTCAAAATGCAGATTTTAATTTTTAATGGGTTTTTTTCTTCTTTTCTGTTGTGTTGGTTTTGTTGAATAAAAATGGGGAAGGGAGAAGAAAAAGGCTAAAAATGGTTACTTTTAATTTTATTATTTTTTAATATTTTACTATAGCAACCCGGGTTATACCGGTTGAACTGGTGGTTTATTGAAAAAAAAAAAAAACCGGTTCAACTGCGGGTGGAAGCGAGTCAAATGCTATTTCTGATTTTTTACATGAACTAACCCGGTGTAGCCACCAGTTTCAAACTGGTTCAACCGACTAGGCCAGGCCGGGTTTAAAGCCATGGTGTGCATTACTGAAGTTATTTTGAGTTTTCAAGCTTAATTAGAAGATTCACTTGCCAAAATTAATTGAAATTTTCATGTTCCCACCCAATTTTTGTGTTCCCGCCAGAGAAAAATCATAGACAACTAAAATGATTATTCTGACAACTAAAAAATTAGTTCTAAATTAACTCGTTTGATAACTAAGGGTGCGTTTGGCTTATTGTTTTTATCCATATTCCCAATCATATTCTTCAAATGTTGTTTGGCACGTTATTCCCAAAATATTAGTCTATTTTTTAATTACTTTTAGACCCCATAAGTTTCTTAATTTCATTAAATACCCCCTAGAAAAAAAGTTTAAAAACTAACAAAAACACCCCCACTCACCAATACTTGCCAGATTCTGGCAACCACCGCCGGTGATAGCCGGAATCTATCACAACAGTCACACGATCACCAGAAGTGGCCAGTAATGGCCAGATCTAACGGCCAAAGAAATGGTCATCGTTGATAGACAACGACGGCCATATCTTTGGCTATCGCTGACGGCCAAAGATGGCCTTTTCCGGCCTTCGAAGGCCACATCCGGCCTTAGATATGGCCTTTTCTGGCCAGATCCGTGGTGGATATGGCCGGAAAAAGCCATATCGATCGAATACCCACCAGATCCAACCGATATGAGTGATTATCCAATTTTCCGCCCAGATTCCGATAGTGGTGGCCGGAATCTGGCACTGCGGGTGGTAGGGGTGTTTTTATCATTTTACAATATTTTAATATATTGGGGTGTTTATTAAATTAGCAAACCTTGTGGGCTTTTTCATAAATTTTTAAATTTTATCTCGTAATACTCCTATATCCAAGTATCCAATACTATTTCTAAAATCTTATCCAAAATAATAAACTAAACGCACCCTAAAATATATGTTGCTAAATATGGTTTATAAAATATAAAAATTAGTTTTAAAAAATAATGAACTAAGGAAATGACCAAATTGTTTAAGTTAATTACTAAAAACCCATTCCTATATAAACCCAACCTAATTCCCCAGTTTCCCCTCGGATATTGAGCGCATCTTCTCTTCTCCACGCACTGTCCATTCTCCTTCTCGGCTTCGTTCATGCATTCAATCTTCTTCTTCCATAGTCCATTATTCTCCACCATCTTCTTGTCCGATTCCAGTCCGTCTTTTGAAGTTTACAAATGTAAGTAAACCCAACCTATTTTCAGGGGAAGTCAGAAAATTAACCCTCCGTTTAACTCAACCAAAACCCTTGAGGCCTCTTGTTTGTATTGTTTGCAGAAGAAGATCAATAAACCCAAAAGCCTTCTTTTCATCTTTATTCTTCTTCTTCGACTTCGTCTTCGTCTTCTCTGCAAGCAAAACATTGCCGTTGGGTGAGAGAGGAGGATGGGACAAAAACGAATCCAGATATTGTGGAGTGGAGACTGACTTCGACGATGACATGCCGCATCTTTTGTCCTACAATCTCTCGTGGCTTCGATTTTGTCGTTGCTACTCTGGTTAGTGTTTTTCTTTTCGATTCTTTGGTTTTGGTTTTGATCATTCTCTTTAACCACCACCTGTTTCAAATCTTACAGATGGACCCCGCTTATAGGCCAAGCTTGGTAGAAAGAGACGCTAGTGGTGGATCAAATGTTCTGCCATTTGCTGCTTCTGACTTGGTTTTGAGCCCCTCCCAATGGAGTAGTCATGTTGTGGGTATGAACTTTTCCATTCACAGTTAGTAATCATTTCTTTTTATATATTTAATTTGCTTTGAATTTTTTTTTAGCATACTCCTTGCATAAGGAGTTCCGATTATAAGAAAAAATTAGGATGTTGGGAGAAGACTTAGATATATTCATTTGATTTTATAGTCTTGTTTGAATTATATGTCATGTATGCTAACCTTTTTGGGCCTGTAATAGATTCTACTTGGGCGAATTATTTTTTCTGGATTGTATGAGAGATAGTTCATGCTGTGGGTATAAAATTTTGAATTTACTGTTGCTAATAATTTCATTTTATATGTGTTTCAGTTTCTTGTTTATCTTGATGCTGGAGCATGTGATAGTTTCTATCAGGAGAATTATTTTATGCGAATAATTATTCTCTCAAGCAGATGACATTTTTAATTTGCTTCAAAAAGTTTTTGATTTTTAGCATACATTTTCCATAAAGAGTTCGGATTTTAAAAGATAATTAGGAGGTTGGGAGAAGAAATTGATATATTCATTTGATTTTGTAGTCTTGTTTGAAAGATTTTGTCTTTAGCAAAGTCTTTTGCTTAGGAGTTTGCTTTTTAAAAAATCAGGTTGAGAGACTTGTTTGGGCCTGTACAAATTCAAAGTCATAGTATGATTCATGCTAAAGTTCTTCTCTGGTGCGGATGTTCTGTAAAAATTTTGGTTTGGTAAAAAGTGATAAAAGAGGTTCTTTTTGCATTACAATCTTGTGGAACTCCCCCAGTATATTCTCGAATCTATTCAGGAAAAATTAGTTCGTGGATTCACTTGGATTCAGAAGATGAGACTGGATGGGTTCTGAAATTACTTTGAAGCAAGAAATAGCATGGGCTACACATTTGTCCTTACAGGTTTGTCTTGAAATGATTTCCCTGCAATGTTTATATTAGTTCAAACAAAATATTAAGCATTGATGTAAATTTCTTTTTGTTTTGCTTGTGATGTTAGCTTCTTCATATGATGCACTACAAAATCCAAATTATTTTCCCGAGGAGAAATTGTGAGGAAAACTAAATGAAGTAGCATATACTGCTTTGCTTTTAATAATTTTTTGACTGGATTGTCTTTTTGACCTTTAATCTTTTGGCTGCTGGTTACTTTATTTTTTTATTGTCTTACGGTATGATGGTCTTGCAGGGGTGATTTTAACTTGAATAACTTCCAAGATGGTTTGCTATCATCTACTTTTATGGTTGGACTGCTTGTAGCTTCTCCAATATTTGCTTCCTTGGCAAAGAGGTGAACATCTTCAATAATATTCATCTGGGTGTACTTTATGAAGCATCTGCAGTTGTGTCATTTTGAGAAGGGAGAGATAAGTGTTTGGGGTTGGAAAATGAGAAAGAGGGTAATGATGGAAGAAAAGAAAGTAAAAGGCATGCGATGCTATGAACAGGCTACTAATAGCTGAAAGGAATTCTCTCTTTCCTCGTTTCCATCTGCTATCATAATTATTGAACTTCTATTAAAAAGCTTTCAGAGTATTACTGGGAAACTAATATGTTTTGCAAAACTGCACTCTGCAGTCTACAGTCCACTGCAGTTTTGCAAACTGTAGTTTTGCAAAAGTTTGCAAACTGTAGTTTTGTTGTTTATTTCCTAACTTAGGAAATGTATACATTCGAAATCAAAAGCATCTTATAAAGAACAGTTTTTTTGATAATTATGTCACATTTTTTGTGCAGATGAGTGTGGCAGAAGCCAGAAAAGCTTGTCAAAGTCAATATGGGTGGATGAAGGAAGCATTGGATAGATTAGTAGAGCAACTAACGTCGCAATGACAACAACAACCTGATGAGGAATAGGTAGATCATTCTTGAAGCTAATCAAGAAAATCTGAATTGTAAATAGAATGTTGTTGAAGACAAAGAGTTGTGTTAGGGGGATAAACTTTAGCTCAAAGTAGTAGGATGGAAGCAAGCAAGAAACTGTGACAACCATTGAAGATTCCAGATTATAGGAAAGAACAAAGATGTTTGCAATTTTGTTTCTTGTTTCACTCTTTTGGAATTGGAATCTTGAAACTTAGAAGATTTTGTGTTAGTGGGTAAGTAGGAATTGTATGTGACTCTTTGTTATTAATAAAGAAGTGCACTTTGATTTGGGAAACTCAGCTTTTGTTGTTTTGTTTGTTTTGTTGAAGTGAAAATGAATCTGGGTATTATCATGAAGAAAATTAGTAGGTTGATTCATAAATTGGGGTTACGGTTAATCATCATATTATCATCCCAATCAGGGAAGATTTTTCCTCCCTAATTCACCACACCAATTTTCATCCCCAATCAAGACAATGCCGAAAATATTTGTCCCCAATCATGACCCAATCAGGGATGAAACCAATTTTTGTCACCAATTGTGCTTTTTCTTTTTCAGACACATTGTCATTTGGGATATATTATTATTTTGTGACAAAATTTCGTCACAAACAAATAATCTTTAGTGACGAAACCGTATTTCGTCTCCAATGGCGTGGCTTTGGACGATTTGTTTATTGTGGGCATTACCCTTTGGTACACCGCTTTGGGGACGATTTGGTCTGTCGTTCTGCATTACTTTTTAGGACGAATTTGTAACTTTTTGTGACGAAAATTTTTGTCCCTAAATTTTAAATTTCTTGTAGGAGACTTGATTTTATGCACTGAAGTTGCAGTTTTGATAATGTTGTACAGGTTTGATAATGCTATACAGAAGTGATGCTGTTGTGCAAAACTGATTTCATAGATGGTGTACAAATTTTTAAATGAAGTACAGAAGATTGGTTATGGATTTAGTATTGTGCAGAGTTGAACTGATTTAAAGTTGTGCAGAATTGAGTTGTTAATTGTGCAAATTTGAGCTACTGCAGAGTTGCTGAATTTTAGTTGTAAAAAGTTGAGTTGTTAATTGTGCAAAGTTGCAAAGTTGAGCTACTGCAGAGTTGCTGAATTTTAGTTGTACAGAAGTTGAGTTGTTAATTGTACAAGTTGAGCTACTACAGAGTTGCAGAGTTGCTTTAGTTGTGCAGAATGAAGTTGATTGTTATTGTGCAAGTTGCAGATTTGCGAATGTTGAATGTGATGCTATTTTGAGCTAATGCAAAGTTGTAGAATTGCAGACTGTCTGAATTTTGAACTATGGTATTTTGAGCTAATGCAAATGATATTCAAAGAGTGCAAAAGGGATAAAGGAAGTTGAGTTTACAGGGAGCAGTTGATCAAAGATTTGTTAAAAACTGGCAAAAGAAGTAAAGAGAGTTGAGTTTAAGGGGGAATGTTGACCAAAGATGTTTTATCATAGAACCAGAGTGTTAAGTTCACAAATTGTTTTACTGTTTTGTAAATAGGTGAAACGGTGGCGTTTCAAGTCTTGTAGCCTTTGTGTCCAAAAACGATGGCTTTTGGGACATCGTTTTAGTTCTTGCTCTTCACTCTCTTTACACGTTGTTTTTTGTAAAGTCTCTAAGTGGTTGTAAAACTAATTCAATCAATGAAATTCATATTCTGACTTTTCTTGTTTTTTCTCTCTATAAATTTCTAGGTTTAGTTTGAGCTTTGCAAGTGCGAAGTATTAGATAAAAATACAATAATGGGAAATAACCATGCTATACGTTCAAGTATTCAACCTCTAGAATTTTTGTTGACATTTTCTTTTGTATGACTTTCAACGTCAATACCAAATTTGCCAACTTTCTGTGGCGACAGGTCAAAACACATATGATAAATATCAACTCAATCAATCTTCCTTAATATCATCCAATACCTGTTTAATTTGACATACAGATAATCATTTGAATTTCTTAGAGCCAAAATCCTACCCATCAAATCAAACCGTATTTCATATTTTTTTTAGTGGAAACTTTTATCTTTTACCATCGGAGAACCCAAGGTTTGCCGTAACAACGAAGTGGTACCAAAAGGTTTTGAAATGACAAATAATACCTTCCATCATGTGTCTGTTAGTGATTTCCATTTGATAATCGTGAAAAGACTAGAATGCCCTTGAAAGTTTGATATTTTAGATTTTTAAAAATTTAAAAATTTAAAAAACCCCCTAGTTTGCTAATTTAACTAAACACCCCAACATTAAAAATTTTGTAACATAACAAAAACACCCCGCCACCCGCAGTGCCAGATTAGCACCACGTGGAATCTGGCGGCAAATTGCGTTACACACAGACCCGTCATATCTGTGTCTTTCACATCGATCTAGCCATCGAGAGTTTTGCGACCGGACGGCCAATCTGGCCGTAGATTGACCTTTTCGCAGATCCGCATGGATCTGACCGAAAGGCCAGATCACGGTTACGACACGATCGATGGTCTATGTCGTAACGCAATTTTCCGGTCAGATTCCAATGTGGTTGCGAATCTGACACTGCGGGTGGGGGGGGTGTTTTTTTTTCATTTATATATTGGGGTGTTTAGTTAAATTAGCAAACCTAGGGGTTTTTAGAAATTTTTAATTTATAAAAAAGTAAAATATAAAACTTTGAAGGGGAGACCTATTTTTGTCATTTCAAACCTTTTGGGTATCACTTTGTCGTTACGCAAACCTTGGGTTGTGTAAGTCGTTCGGCCTTTTACCATCTATACAACTTGGTGGCAGTGGTTTCATATAACATATCATTTTACGTTACATGATTTACTTCCAAATATTAGTTAGCATATATAATATAATGAAAGATAACTTAGATCAAAGTAGTTAGTTATTTATTACTCCCTCCTTTCTATATAATTCATTTTAAGCTCTGCTCTGCACAGTTTTTAATGAATCAATTTTATCTCTTCTTAAATTGATTTCCTCTATATTAATGTGGAAAAATTTTGTTTTTCCCACTAAACTGTTGAATATGATGAGAGAGAAGAGAGAGAAGAGGAGGGAGATGTAGCCATGTGGCCATAGAAAAGGGAGAGAAAGACGAGACAGAGGTAGAGAAAGGAGATGTGGGCGATAAAAAGATAATAAAGAGAGAGAAAGAGATGCGCATAGGAAAAAGTGGAGAGAGGAGATGAGGGCAAAGAAAGAATGGAATGTGGGTGAAGAAACATTGAATGAAATCAACGTATTTATTTAAAAAGTTAATATTAAATTTATAAAAAACCAGGGAGTATAATAAATTATAAACCACTCTGGATAGAACCTGAAATTGTTTTGTTGAAAAATTAGAAAGTCAAAATTTGCTTTTGCTTTTGCGGGTTATACATAATTTGGCATACTTTTTTTTTTTTCTGACTGCCACCGCGTTTCATAGACTTGCAATGGATATGTATACTTTCAATATTTAAAACCAAATTTGCCAACTCTCTCTCACAAAAGTACAAATATTGGATATATATCACCACAATTTTCTAGAATGAAATCATGTTTACTATAAATAGAGGTTGCTGTCCTAACTTTATACCAACAACATATTCGAAACATTACATTCAAAGTTATAAATCTTGAAGCGAATCACTCTCCGAAAGAAGAAAAGGAAGGAAGAAACAAGAGCCAAAAAGTTTAATTAAGTACAATGGAGGGCTTATTCCTTACCTCATTCACGTGTGAAGAACCGAGACCTCAGAAGGGCTACCGGAGCTTGTCTGACAGTTCCAGCCACCAAAGCTACCATTTGTTAGGCGGAGGTGAGTCCTTGGAGGGTTCGAATTCCCACAGGCGAACAAGGTCAGAATTTCTGCCTCCTCCCGTGGAATTCTTGGAAAATCGATCTGGAAATGATTCGTTCGCCAACGTAACGTTAACAAAGGTCCTGTGAGGTCTCTTCTTCTGTGGCTGTGGGTTTAACGTTGGTTCGAATCCTCAGCAGATGAGAAAGGCATTAGTTCTTGATTTTGCTAGTCTTCGAAGATGAAGATGTTGAAAAAGAAAATTGATAGTGTTTTCAAGTGAAAGGTTGATTTATTTATTGATTAATATGGTGGACAGGGTCATCTTTGTAGTTGCAATTGTAAAAAGTTTCTTGTAATGTACGCTTGAGTTATTGAAAAATGCTCGGTGCCATTGCAGTAACAAATGGTTTCTGGGCAACTTGTTACAACTTTTCAAAGTTAAATGAATTTTCCTTTTTTTTTTTTTTTTTTTTTTTTTTTTTTTTTTTTTTTTTTTTTGTGTGTTTTCAATTCTTGGACACAT